TCAAGCCCTATATATTCGTAAAAGAAAGAAAGAAAAGAAAAGAAAGAAAGAAAGAAAGAAAGAAAGAAAGAAAGAAAGAAAGAAAGAAAGAAAAAAAAAAAGAAAGACAACACTGGTGGAAAGAAAGAAAGAAAGAAAGAAAGAAAGAAAGAAAGAAAGGACGATAACCATGGTGGAAAGAAAGAAAGAAAGAAAGAAAGAAAGAAAGAAAGAAAGAAAGAAAGAAGGAACGATAACCATGTTGGAAAAAAGAAAGAAAGATGGATAGAAATAAATAAAGAGAAAGAAAATAGAAATGTCAAAAAAATAAAAGAAAACACGAGTAAAAAAGAAAATCCGTTTAAAATAAAGGAAATAATAGTGTAAACGAACGGACGAAAGAAAGAAAGAAAGAAAGAAGAAAGAAAGAAAGAAAGAAAGACTAAGGAAAAACGACTCATGAATAAGCAAAAAGAAAAAAGAAAGAAAAAAATATTCTGCCATTTGTTGAGAAGGGTGATGGGGGGGTGAGATTGTATTCTTGGCGGAAAAATTCCGAAGACTGATCGTCGGTAATGGACGCAATAACTGCACACAGAAAAAAGACACGCTTTTGTCCGATCGAAGCAAAAATCGATTAAACTAAGGGATTAGCCGCATTAGGCCCAGATCATGTCAACGGCTTCTTTGTGCCAGATCGATAACGCTCGATACGTGCGAACCAGATTAGAAACGCCGCTTCTCACAATGAATGGCCGACAACCGGTAATAACATGGCGGTACTCTGCTTTCTCGAAGCAAAAAAAAAATGGTCTTCGACATTAACGCAAACTGGATAACGTTTGAAGGTGGTCGAATGGCTATAAAACTGTATCACAATATTTCAAATCAAATAGAAAAAAGAAGTCTTGATACGGTATGTAGTCGAGGGGAGAGGGAAGAGAATCGACTATTTTCTTTTTCCAGAACGATAACCGGGTTGACAGGGGTTTGCATGCCCATAAAATGGAGCTCAGATAAAAGCGTTGTGAAGACACATTTTAATCTGAATGGACAGAATTCGACGCTCGCTAGCTCTATGGTGGTGTAAAAACTGTAATTAAATCTTCATTTCGGGTAGGGGACAATATTTTGGGGGTTTGTTCTCTAGTTTGTTTTTTTGTTTTTTTTTACAGCATGCTTTGTAAGGTAGGAAATAATTCTCTTGCTAAAACGATTATCAGGAGCTATTTGGAGCCGCTATTGTGGTGTGCCTGCAAAAAATAAAATATCAAAACAAAATTAAAGGTTTAGTAATTCTCGCCATGTAACGCACCAAATGATTTCCTTGTCTGTACAGTTTGTTGCGTTTTGCTAGATTTTTACAGTTATCTTCCTTGCACTGGGAATTTATATATTGACTAGCAGTAGAGTCCGGCGTTGCCCGGGGATGTAACAGTAAGAGATAGATCAAGTATCGACCATCATAAAGACTGAAAAATAAAATTGACAAAGATTATTGTTTAAGGTCGACGGACACGCATGTCTTAATTAGTTTTTCTTTTTTTTGTTTTTTTTTTTTTTTTTTTTTACGAATTGGTCAAACTCAAACAAAAACATTGTTTTCAATCGTTATGAGTCTACCGATTGAATAGAATTTTATTATAAACAATTGTCTTGTAAATGGAATTTTTAAAGCATTCTGAATGTAAAAATAAAGAAAAAAAAGTGTGCAAGACAATAAGAAACACTACCTGCCAAAAAAAGTGAAGTTTTGTTGAAATCGGTTGAAAAATGTAGGAAATCCGATCCCATATATAAACGAACACACACACACACACACACGCACACACAAACACACACACACGCACACAACCTTGGTTTTATAATAAGTATAACTCGATATGAGCTGTCCCCCTTTCATTCCGCGAATTTTTCGTTCAAAACAATTGTGTTTTTCCAATTTTTGGCGCTGTCAGAACCACCACAAGGTAATTTTACGTAGTCCTGTGAAGTTTTGTTGAAATCGGTTGAAAAATGTAGGAAATCCGATCCAATATATAAACGTACACACACACACACACACACACACACACACACAACCTGGGTTTTATAATAAGTATGATGTGTTATTATTAATATAGTTAACGGTCTGGGTATGACGATAAATTACATCCGGCATCGGGTAAGTGGAGCTCGAAAGCCTGGGAACGCAGTTCACCTAAGGGAATGAAAACCCTTATTTTAAACCTCCGCCACCTTACGGCCATATCCAGTCACAGAATAGGCTTCCGGAGCAAACCCCGAGGAAAAATCCGGAGACGGAGTTCGCTAAGGCGATTTGCCGTTGTACCCATCCCGTTCTGGCAGCTTCTGCGACGGCACCGGTCCCAAACTGTAGCGACTCTGACGTTCCTTTGGTCTCACCGGTGACGTGGAGAAGTGGGACGTGCTACATATCCTGCATATATATGACATCGCCCAGGCTTGCATGCTGCATGTTAACGGCCGTCATTTGAAACTCTAACAAATAAAGGACGATAGAGGGCGAGGAGCAGAGACCATCTCTTCCTCTCTTGTCAAACTCTCTGCCTCTGGATTGGAGAGGGACCCAGACGGGCGCTATGCTGAAGAACACAGTCCCGTTTGGGGAGGTAGACAAAACCGGCCCAGTGTATACGGGGGTTCTACCGACAATTTTTGCCCGAGTCTACGGGCTGGGAACGTCTCACGCTAAAAAACTGGCCTTGTACCACATCTTGCTTTGTGGAGCGTTTGGTAAATAGAGGGTTACTGAATGAGATTATTGTAAGGGCGTAAGATAGGGGGAGAGTGAAAGGAGTTATAGTGGTCTGGGAAGCACCCCCTCGGGATCTTGTTCCCGGTAGAAACTATCTGAGTGTAATTTCCTCTTTACCACAGGAATACGAAGGAGACGAAGATGATTTGATACAGTGTTCGCGGTATAGCGTGCTCTATCTGTGAAGGCATGAACTGGGGAGGAGGAAGCGTAAGGACGTTCTCCCTTCACAACATAATAGTTCTTTAATTTATTCCTTTAGGGGAGAGAGTGAAAGGTGTTGTAGTAGTCTGGGAGCATCCCCTCTGAATTTTGTTCCGGGTAAGAAACTATCTGAGTGGAATTCCCCCTTTACCACAGGAATACGAAGGGGATGAAGATGATCTAATACAATGTTCGCGGTATGGCGTGCTCTAGCTGTGAAGGCATGAACTGGGGGTGCGTAAGGACGTTCTCCCTCCATATCATAATAGTTCTTTAATTTATTTTTTAAAATGTAGTTGTGTTTTCTCGCTACATAGCGAGAACGATTCAAAGGCTGGATGCCAGAATAAAAGAACACGTTCCAACGAAAATCCGCCATCTTAAGTACATTCCTTCAGACATTCTGATCAATACATATGGATCTTCCATCGCAGAGCTTCTAATAAATAGCCATAATTGTGCTACTGGTTTCAGTATGGACTCATTTACCATTCTTAGCAAGTCCCACTCGAAATTACCACTTAAAAGTGTTGGAGGCTATTTATATTTTATCTTTGAAGCTCTCTCTGTGTAAACAGGACTTCGTATTAGGCATCCATAACGCGCTCTCCCCCAGAAACTGCAACTAAGGTCCGCTCAGCATAGTTGCAGTATAAAACACAAGTAGGCTCTGTGGGTATTGAACAAATACAAATGGGCCTGAGCAAGCGTCTGTAGCGGGGACTGCGCTCATGAATAAGTGCTGTATAACGGACAAAACGAATCCTATCAAAATAGGAAAGTAAGCCCATTGTAATGGTCCATAATTGATAATATTTCTTGTACAATTTGGCAAGACTATAAGAGAGCTTAGATATGAAGTAGGTAATAAACGCTTCCTCAATTTTCTGTCTTGGCTGTAAATTGACCCGTTTTATTTTAAAGGAAATAAAAGTGGGACACACTTTATTAGTCATGCGCAAAGGAAGAAAAGACTTGTTTGCTGAGGTAGTTCTGACCTTACTTTTAACTTTTAACAAAGAATTCATTCTATTCTCGAAGCACTCTCTTTGCACCGTCACACGTCCGAGCATGTTACATTCACTTTCGTAAGACACAAGGCAGAAAAGTCATTCGTTGCCGAGCAGTAGAGGAAGTTGCACGTAATCATGTTATATTGTTGGCTGGAAATTACTATACCATTAATTGAATGAACCAATGCACTACGCATGGCGCGTAAAAACCTATCTTAACTGGATATAAAATGGGAGTTGAGTTTTCTATTGTAAGTAATGAACTGACGCCTATTTAAAAATACTATCATAAGCCATAAGTCCTTACAAAAATAAATATATATATTTCCAGTAAGCAAAATACTCCAAGATGTATTTAAATCAGAAATTATATCAATTTTTTTTTTCAGTAAAATCTATAAAATCGACCATTTTGACACAAAACAAAAGTTAATTCTTGGTTTTAAAAATCTTACAAAAATAAAATATGTATTTCCGAAACGTTATTTGAAGAAAGTTAGCAAATTTAAAGTTAGATTAATCTGATTTGAAAGAAATATTTCTTACTTATAGCATAAAATGTTGTATACAAGCATTTCTTAATAACTGGGTCTGGTTTTTTCTGACGTCTTGATCGATTTATCGACAACCTAACATATTGACAATTATGGTGACGCAGAATTTCTAGCAGACAATAAATTTTATATGAGTTTTTTTTTTTCACAAGGGGGGCAACCCTTAAAACACGTGATTTTTTAGTGATAATATCATGTATGAACTAGCATACTTAGAAAAAATAGGAAATTTAAATAAAAAAATATCGAAATTCTTTATAAAAATATATGAGTTCGTCAGATTGCAATAAACTTTACAATATACGATTGGTAAATATAGTTTTAGAAAATATCAGTATTTTCTTAGAGTTACACCATTGAAACCGAATTTTAAAATATTTAAGATCTTTATAAATTATTCTATTTAGAATTGTAAAAAAAAAAAAATGAAAACAAGTCTTGTAAAATTTCATTCATGGAAAAATATTTATTCTTCAGAAAATAATGTCGTTAATATATATTATTCCTAAAAGCAATTAAAATCTTCTCTAATTAAATAATGCTCTAGTTTTATTAGATTTTTATTGTGGGGACCTACCTACAAATGGACTCTTCCACGTCTATATAATATGGCTACCAACTCTGAGTAAAAGGAGTTACCAAGTGAGGGTCACCAAGTTGTAGTCATAGAGTGAGTGAGTGCGTCAGGACACTAGTGAGAGAAAGTACTCTCCATTCCACATTTACCTTTGTACTACGTTTCCGAGAATATACTATTTAACCTTATATCCGAGTCCGTGTTATCTTTCTATGGTTCTCCACCATAACAGTTATTTTTTCTACTCAAAACAGATTTTCGGTTAGACAGGGTCGATTTTACAATATATATATATATATATATATATATATATATATATATATAGGTAATCCGTATGGGTACAGCTCAATGTAAATTCAGAGCAAATATGGGGTTAGGGATAAAGAATTGAAATGGTACATGTAGCTCACTCATGTCTTCTCTCCCCCCTCACTTCCTCACTTCGTCTTCTCTCACCCCTCACTTCCTCACTTCGTCTTCTCTCACTTCCTCACTTCGTCACTTGCCATGTTTAATGGATGTCAGTTATCAGTTATCTCCTTTTAATTTCCCTCTGAAAGTTCTTCACTGCCAAACCGGGTATTGAACTCACACTCTTTGGGTCCTGTCACTGGATCTGACCAACGCCTTTATCCACTGTGCCATGTGTCCTTGAGGGCACATCGCACAGTGAACTAGAACAGTCTACAGTGAGCGAAATAAAGGGTTCAGTTCGAAATTCCAACCACCTGAAGAAGATCGGAGCGTACAACGGCCGAAACGTTGTGATAAATATAGCGACAAAGATGAGGACAATAGTCCGAATAATATAAATAATGTACATAATACCTCATCTCAGAAAATATATATATATATATATATATATATATATATATATATATATATATATAAAACGGTGATTTAAATTCTTAAAAGAATACTTCTTTTAACTAATATAGTCACTAAATCTTCTCATGTTGAATTTGAAGATTTTATAAAATTATGTAAGGGCCTGAAAGCGGACCCTGAATGCTCGTCAATCGTAACGAACGTGATGCTATTTAAGGGTAAACCCTGTGCTTTATGCGTCTGTTGGGTCTTAAGCTCAACCCAAAACTCAAGTGGAATTCGTAAATACCATCGATCACTAAAAGATGCTGGAAAAATAGTCGGATACCTGTACCGCTTCAGTAAGTACCTGACTCCTCCTGCTATGCTCTACTTTTGCAAGAGCCAGATCATGGGGAAAATAGAGGACAGAAGCATTATTTTCCACCCTACAACCCCTTTCCCCACAAACGAAATGTCGCAAGCCTCTGCCTACTCTCTGGTTATTTCCATGGAAAGTGTTCAGACGAATGACATTCTTTAGTTTTCCCAGTTCTGGGCTTCACAGTAAACACCCAGCATGCCATGTATGCTTCGTATTCCATTGGTGAGACGTAGGTTGACACTGGAGCAGCTCCTTCCCACGAACTGCTGCTTTATGGAACCGACTCCCAAGAGGATGCTTCCCCGATTACTACAATCTTAACCTTTTTCAAGTCTAGAGTTAACCGTTATCTACCCCACATACCTCTATAAACTATACCTCTACCTGCTTTGTGGAACCCTCTACCTGCTTTGTGGAACCGACTCCCGAGGGGATGCTTCCCAGATCACTCCAATCTTTACCTTTTTCAAGTCTAGAGTTAACCGTTATCTACCCCACATACCTCTATAAACTATACCTCTACCTGCTTTGTGGAACCCTCTACCTGCTTTGTGGAACCGACTCCCGAGGGGATGCTTCCCTGATCACTGCAATCTTGACCTGTTCAATTCTAGGGTTAACCGCTATCTTCGCCACATATCCTCATCAATCGTGCCTCTTACTCTGTAACCCTCTACCTCGTATGACTCTTGGGCTTTTACAGGTTGAAAATTATTGTAAAATACAGCGAAAAAACTCACCTGGACGAAAATATGGAAGAGACTTTGTGCTAGATCGAACCGTAAACCTCGTGGTTACTCGGTATCTTATTTGGAGGTGATTAATGAACATAAAGTTTATGGTCTGCTATAAATGTTACAGGTACAGCGAATGTGTAAAATTAATGTAAAAACGAAAATGACGTTTATGGGTTCCCATACGAAGAAACAGCAAACAGTAATTTGAAACTCTACGGGCAAATTCATTTATGCTTGAATGCGTTGTCGACAACGATATACACCTTTTTTAGTATGGAAGCAAATAAAAAATAAGTTAAAATATTTGCGGAAAACAGTTCTAACAATAATAATAATAATAATAATGATAATCGCACAGCACGAGCGCACACATACGCATGTGTAAATCTATATGCATTTGTATGTGTGAATCTATGCGTATGTTTAATATGATTTGTTGTGTACAGGGCGTAAAGACATTGTTGTTGTGGTCTCTGTAGTAAATAGGTTTGGTTTATTTTGCTTTGCGGTATATCAACCACAATGGGGTATTTAATGCCAGCAAAATGTTTAGGATAGTTTTGTAAGAAATCTGTTTGTAGATCGGGTTCCATTGACGTATTTTTGCAAAGAGGGTTTCAGTCGAAATTCGGATGTATTTTTGGTATATTCACTATAAAACACCAGTTTTAAACTTTCATAGTGTTTTGACCCCAGTTTGGTGGAGGTCAACTCTTTTCCCATAGTTGGAACCCTAACAGGTGCTACCACAACGGGTCAGGATGGACCTGGGAACACCAACAATTAAGAAGTGGTTCCACGATCCTCAAAACTTCCTAGTCAGAGACTTTGCTGCTAGATGTAGTTTAATGTCATACTCAGGACGCGGATGTAGTTTATCGTCAAATAGTTAACTCCCAAACTGGGGTTCAAAACGTGTAAAAATAGGTTTTCATACTAGCAATACAATTCTGTAAAAATATTACCAGCAATGACTTTTTTAAGGAAAAATATTACCAGCAATATATTTTTGAAAAACAAAATTTCCGAGCAATACATTTTTGAAGAAAAAAAATATTAACAGCAATACATTGTTGGTAAAAAAAAATATTAGTTGGCATTAAGTAACCCATTGAGGCCGTAAAACAAAACAAAACAAACCACACACACACACTGTTATAGTCCGGTTCCTTGTACCACGGGTGATAGTCCAAGGTAGAACCAATAAAGAAGAACTCGAACACGGATATGGAATAACACAAATATATTACAAACAGGAATATATACAGAGAAGTAGAAAGTGTTAGTATGAACAATCAGGTTTAGTAGAGAGAACAATGTAGTCTAAACCAGTATCACTATTCCAATATACTGCAATAACTGTCTGAACGCGACTCTGTTTCGGACTGCCTCTGACTCGACTCTTGACTCGACTTGAACTACTGACTATTAACTGACTTGATCTACTGACTGACTCTATATTGACGATATTCAGTCCTCCCCACCACCACCACTGGGGCGGCATATGACACAAGGTCGTTTATTTAAAACGGGTTCTCCGAGCCCGTGGGCTAAAAAAATATGCCCATTGAACCCGTATAAACGGGCTCAGGGCCGGTTTACCTCCCCGAACGAGACTCCGCCCCTCGGCGTAGCCTCGTTCGGGTTCCTCACCGCCCGAAGGAAGGGAGTTCAACAGAACAGTCAGTTCAGAAGTGAACGAAGACTCCTGCCTACTCCTGAGGCGTAGTATTTATTAAGTATGGAATATTCCATTATTTTTATTATGGATAAGATCCCAGAACTCACACACACACGTATATATATATATATATATATATATAATAAGAATATAGTTTTAAGGTATGCTATATTTATGGGTAGAATTGCTCGATATCAGAGATAGAGCTTATGTAAATATAAAATATAAAAGTGGATACTGAGCTCAACACAAAACGGCCGCTAGGTGTTGACCTCATTGCCTACTTTTATACTTTATACACCCACAACCACACACACAGATAGACACGCGCGTGCGCATATTAAGATATTGAATAATTAATTTAGATAAGTTTTGTTTACTTATTTTCATTAGAATCCTCTCATATTCACGGACAAGCGTCGTAGTATCCTTATTAAGGGAAGAGAGAAAATTACCATGTTGATACACATTCATTTATTCCGAGTACTTTCAACATTAGCACACTGTCATCATCAGAGCGTTTTTTTTTCTTTTTGTTTTTTCTTTTTCTAAAACAAAAGTATTCTGCTCATCTGAAAGTTCATTTCTTTAACCGTTATGTAAAAAACGTTATGTACGGTACCATTTAAATTTCACGATAAGTTATATATTGGAAGCGAGAAATCACCCAAAGGAATTTTGCTAAATTCAACCGACAAGGTCTGTTTGCTTAAATTTTTATTGAATTTTCTAGTTTTCGAATTGGGAGCATAAGCAAATTCTTTTCCAAAATATCTTTCTGAAACTATTTATATATTTTCGGTATAGAGAATGATGATTTATTTATATATCCCCGAAAAACAATAGTATTCGATCTTATAAATAAATTTAAGAACATTGAACATAGAATAGAATTTGCTTATCAAACAGAAACAAACAATAGATTAACTTTCCTTGATATCACGTGTTTACTCGTACAGCTTTTTTCTTTTTATGGGCCATGTCCTTTCAGGACGTAGGCGAACATGGCTCTCCACCTCCTCCTATCTTCTGCGGCTCTCATCTAGTTCCTTCCCTCTGCTTCCTCCCCCAGACCACGTTCTGTCATCCACTTGCTTAAGCCCACCGAATCGATCTAAAACTAAACGTCGAGCCAAAAACCCTAACAAAAAAGATCACGTAAATTTCTACCGACGCTACAATAACAAAAAAAAACATGGAATTATTAGAGACTTCTACTTAAGAGCTGTTAGTATTTGTAGTCCGCAATATTTACACAAGATAGATAGATAGATAGATAGATAGATAGATAGATAGATAGATAGATAGATAGATAGATAGATTTTATCTGTAGTTGAAGGCATACAATTGCGTTCAAAATATATTTAGTTGAAGCCATAAAATTGTGTTCCAAATATTTAGATTTCGGTATTAAATAACCTCATATTGTATTGAAAATATTGATAAAAAAACAAAATGACCAACAATACATATATGTAATTGAAGGCATATAATTGCGTTTTAAAAAATATATTTAGTTAAAGATAAATAAAATTGTGTTGCAAATATTTAGATTTCGGTATTAAATAACCCATAGAAATGTTGATATGCCACAAAACAAAATGACCAACAATACATATATGTAGTTGAAGGCATATAATTGCGTTCAAAATATATTTAGTTAAAAGCCATAAAATTGTGTTCAAAATATTTAGAAAAGTATTAAATAACCCATAGAGATGTTGATATGCTAAACAAAATGACTAACAATACATATATGTAGTTGACCAACAAACGTTCAAAAATATATTTAGTTGAAGCCATAACATTGTTCAAAAAAAAAATATTTAGATTTCAATATTAAATAACCCATAGTGGTTGATATGGCGCTAAACAAAATGACCAACAATACATATATTAATCGAACCAACAATTGCGTTCAAAAAATAGATTTCTTGCATTAAATAACCCATAGAGGTTGATATATTAAAAAGAATATTAAAGAACCATATTGAAAGTAAAAAATGACATTAAAAAATTTTAATCCACATAATATCCTACAAAAACCAAATTGTATTCCAAAATATAACTTTAACAAAATTACATAAAACACACATATCACCTCTTTTGTCCACACAAACATATATATGCACAAAAGCTGAGTATTATCTACCATGAATTCAATTGCGAAAGCAGAATAACCTATACCATATTTTTATTTCAGAGTTCCCAAGTGTTGTAGATCTCGAGATGAAATCCGGTCTCAAAATGAATGACAAACACAGGAATGAAATATAGCAAATAAATGTATTGACGTAATAATACAATTGGTAATACGGTTAGTAGATCCAGAAATGCGGTTGTAGCAATAATAATATATATATAGTCTGGGAAATTCAGTATCGAAGTAGGACTTCCTTCTAAGTCTACGTGCTCGCAACTGTGACTCCTACAAAGCGGTTACCTCTCTCTCTCACTGTATCAGTGTATCAGTGTATCTCTGTTATTCACTCTTCCTTAGGTATTCGCCGGCAGCAGTACAAGTACACAGTGGTCGAGTCCACTTGTATGAAAAAGGGGTGGACCCCATAACACCAAGGAAATTAAATTTCGACATTAAATGCCCCAAGAGGTGTTGATGTGTCGTTAAACAGACAAATCAATCAATCTTAGTTGATGCCTGGATACTTTTTAGCATTGTGCTAACTTCTCTCTCTCTCTCTCTCTCTCTCTCTCTCTCTCTCCGCTTCGTCTAAACCTTAACCATCTCTTCCACAGCGCATCTATGTATCCGATGTAGCTACATCCTCTAGCTTCTAGTAATTATATCCAAACATGTATATCGGAAAATCAGGCATTGTGTATTATCTGTTGCATTTTTTTTTATATATTTGTATGTTTAACAAGAGAGAGCCAATCCAAATGACTTGACTCACTTTATAGTCCACCAATAGAAGGTTAACCAATCAGAAGACGTAGAACATTCAATTCATCGTGTATAAAAGGCGGCCATTTTTGTTCACTCTACCCGAATGTCCAGTCCAGCTTATCAGGCGAAGAGAAACAGAAGGACGAACTACGCTCTGCTACTTTTACCAAAATATCCACTGGTAACCTGAACAACGCTTTCCTACTGTCTTCGAAATATTTACTGCTAACCTCTGGATTCTATACTCAAAGACGACCGTCATCATGAACAACATTTTCCTCAAAGTTTGATCTAGATAGCCTTTCGTATCTCCCTTCAGCAAGTCGGTATAGTTAACTTCTTAGATGGCGTGGCCCTTTTGAGGATATTTAATAAACACAATGTCTTTTGCATCCCATAAAACTGAAGCCATCACCTTCCCTGGAGACGACACGACCATTGCCTTTGACGTTGGGTGATGTTTCCACTGCGTGGATTGTCTCTTTTTGTCTAGCTCAAGGTGATGAATCCGATACTTATCATGGGTTAGGAGACATTGAAGGAAATCAGATGGATCTGCCTCAAACAATATCAGATTTTCCTGTGATGTGATCAGCCAGCACCCACCGATCAGTTTTTTGTTACAATTTTTGGATATATTTTCCATTACTAGTGAGCCAACCCAAATGACTTACTCATTTTTATAGTCCACCAATAGAAGGTTAACCAATCAGAAGACGTAGAACATTCAATTCATCGTTTTATAAAAGGCGGCCATTTTTGTTCACTTTACCCGAATGTCCAGTCCAGCTTATCATTATTAAGAGAAACAGAAGGACGATTTACTACTATGCTACTTTTACCAAAATATCCACTGCTAACCTGAACAAAAACTTT